ATGTTGAGATGCCCCCAAAATGTTGAGATGCCCCCAAAATGTTGAGATGCTCCCAAGACGCCGAGATGCCCCAAGGTGTTGAGATGCCCCTAAAGGTGTTGAGATGCCCCTAAAGGTGCTGAGATAACTTCAAGATATTGAGATGCCCCCAGGATGCTGTGATGCCCCCAAGACGCCGAGATGCCCCCCAGACCCCCCCAATCTCCTCCCACACCCCCCCCCCTCTTCTCCCCCCCCTACGTACCTTCGGGGCTGCTTGTGCTGCCCCAGCCGGAGACGACGCACTCGGTGTCGGGGGGGGGACATTTTTTGGGGAGGGCGACGGGTTGGACGTGCTGCGTGAAGCGGACGGGTTTCTGGAGCTTGAGGAGCATGATGTCGTTGTCGTGACTGGTGGCGTCGTAATCGGGGTGGACGAAGGACTGCGCCGAGGTGACGCACTGCTCCGTGCCCTCCTTCGTCTTCAGGCTGTGGTCGCCCATCCGGATGGGGATGGGGCTTTTTTGGGGGGGGGGGGGGGGGGGGGGACATGGAGGTGAGATGCGTGGCGGAGGTGGGGAAATTTGGGGGGGCAGCACGGTGGGGTTTCTGGTTCGGTTGTTGGGTGTGGGGAGGGGTCCTGTGGGTGCATCACATCTCGCCTGAAGGTGTTCAGTTCTGCCCTCCAAAAATGCTGGGTTCTGACCCAAAAATGCTGGGTTCTGCCCCAAAAATCCTCAGTTCTGTCCCAGAATGCTCGGTTCTGCCCAAGAAAGCTGGGTTCTGCCCCCAAAATCCTCAGTTCTGTCACAAAATCCTCAGTTCTGCCCTCGAAATGCTCAGTTTAGCCCTAAAATCCTCAGTTCTACCCTCCAAAATTGTCAGTTCTGGCCCCAAAAATCCTCAGTTTAGCCCTAAAATCCTCAGTTCTGCCCTCAAAATGCTCAGTTCTGGCCCCCAAAATCCTCAGTTCTGCCCCCCCAAAATGCTCAGTTTAGCCCTAAAATCCTCAGTTCTGGCCCCCAAAATCCTCAATTCTGCCCCCAAAAATCCTCAGTTCTGCCCCAAAAATCCTCAGTTCTGGCCCCCAAAATCCTCAGTTCTGGCCCCCAAAATCCTCAGTTCTGGCCCCCAAAATCCCCAGTTCTTAGGAACAAAATTCCCCACTTCGGTCCCCAAAAATAAAACTCAGTTCAACCCCAAAAATCCTCAATTCCACCCCAAAAATGGGATGGCTGTACCGGGATGGCCTTACTGGGAATGGGGTGGCCATACTGGGAACGGGGTGGCCATACTGGGAAGCCAATGGGGTGGCCATACTGGGAATGGGATTGATCATACTGGGAACAGGGTGGCCATACTGGGAAGGGGGTGGCCATACTGGGAGGCCAATGGGGTGGCCATACTGGGAATGGGGTGGCCATACTGGAAACGGAGTGGCCATACTGGGAAGCCAATGGGATGGCCATACTGGGAATGGGATTGATCATACTGGGAATGGGATGGCCATACTGGGAACGGGGTGGCCATACTGGGAAGCCAATGGGATAGCCATACTGGGAACAGGGTGGCCATACTGGGAAGCCAATGGGGTGGCCATACTGGGAACAGGATGGTCATACTGGGAAACCAATGGGGTGGCCATACTGGGAACGGGATGGCCATACTGGGAAGCCAATGGGATGGCCATACTGGGAATGGGTTGACCATACTGGGAAGCCAATGGGATGGTCATACTGGGAACAGGAAGGCCATACTGGGAATGGGATGGCCATACTGGGAAGCCAATGGGGTGGCCATACTGGGAACGGGAAGGCCATACTGGGAAGGGGGTGGCTATACCGGGAAGCCAATAGGGTGGCCATACTGGGAAGCCAATAGGGTGGCCATACTGGGAATGGGATAGCCATACTGGGAACAGGGCGGCCATACTGGAATCAAATGGGATGGCCATACTGGGAACAGGGGTGGCCATACTGGAAAGCCAATGGGGTGCCACGATGCCCCCTCCCCCCACCTCTCCCCCCCACCTCTTGGTGTCGCAGTGGGCGGCCGTCAGCACCCAGAGGCGGTCGATGAGGACCCCCCCGCAGTGGATGTTGTTCTGGGGGCCCAGGAGGACCACCTGGTGGGGGTGGCGTTTCTTCTGGCAGCTGTGCCCCCCCACGATCCGGTTCTCGTCCCCCGTGGCCGCTGGGGGGGCAGAGGAACAGCTCAGCCCTCCCACTTCCTCCCAGTTCCTCCCAGTTCCTCCCGGATCCTCCAATTTCCTCCCAGTTCCTCCAATTTCCTCCCACTTCCTCCCAGTTCCTCCCAGATCCTCCAATTCCCTCCCAGATCCTCCAATTTCCTCCCAGTTCCTCCAATTTTCTCCCAGTTCCTCCAATTTACTCCCAGTTCCTCCTGGATCCTCCAATTTCCTCCCAGTTCCTCCAATTTCCTCCCAGTTTCTCCCAGATCCTCCAATTTCCTCCCAGTTCCTCCAATTTCCTCCTGGATCCTCCAATTTTCTCCCAGTTCCTCCAATTTCCTCCCAGTTCCTCCTGGATCCTTCAGTTTCCTCCCAGTTCCTCCAATTTCCTCCCAGTTCCTCCCAGTTCCTCCAATTTCCTCCAATTTCCTCCCAGTTCCTCCAATTTCTTCCCAGTTCCTCCTGGATCCTCCAATTTCCTCCCAGTTTCTTCCAGTTCCTCCAGTTTCCTTCCAGTTCCTCCTGGATCCTCCAATTTTCTCCCAGTTCC